GGGAGGGTGTTCACTCATGGGCACACCCCACCTCTGCATGAGAGATGGTTCATGCATGTGTCTTGCTCACCTCAGCAGGGAGGGTTTTTACACATGTGCACAGCCCCACCTTGGTGTGGGAGGAGGTCACCCATGCAGAGCGCCACCCTTCAATGAGGGAATAGTGATGCCACTATTAAATGTGACGTTTCATGAATGGTTCTTTTCAATTTCACAGCTGAAGTAGCAGACAACTCTTAAGGTAAGGGTTTGGGTTAGCATTACCATTAATGGTTAGGGTAAGAGTTAGGTCATGCTTCCACACCCACCCCCTCATCTCTAGAGTGTATTCACGCAATAGCACCGCCCCTCAGTGTGGGAGAATATTCATGCATGTGTCCCGCCCCCTTCAGCATGGGAGGGTGTTCACACATGCGCCCCAAACTCTTCAGCTTGGAAGTGCGTTCACGCATTCTCACATTTGCACCACTAGTCCCAATGTGAGGGAGGGTGTTGACACATGTGCCCTGTCTCCCTTGGCATGGGAGGTGGTTCACACATGCTCCTCAACCCCTTGGTGAGGGAGGGTGTCACCCATGAACAGTGCCACCCCTCGGAGAGGAGTGTCTGTGTTGCCACTATTAAATGTGACCTTTCATCAATGATTCTTTTCACTTTTACAGCTGAAGAAGCATGCATCACTTAAAGTAAGGGTTAGGGTTAGCATTACATTTAGGCTTTAGGGTAAGGGTTAGGTCATGCTTGCTCCCCCTCTCTGCACGAGAGGTGTTTCACTAATACTCCCTGCTCCCCTTGGCACAGATGGGCACAGCCCTCTGTCCGTCTAGAAGGGTGTTCTCACGCACAACCCTCCTTGGTGATGGAGGGCGTTTGTGCACACACCCTGACCCATTAGAGCGGGAATTTGTTCTCGAGTGTGTAAGGCCCCCCCTCCTGGCGGAAGGGCATTCACCTATGTGCACCATCCCCCCACTCTGGCATGGGAAGGTGTTGACCTATGTGACGTAACACGTCAGTATGGGAGAATATTCGCGCATCTGCCCCGCCCCCCTCTGCCTGGGAGGGTGTTCATGCATGAGCACAGCCACCAATCAGTGAGGGACAGTATTCATGCATGCGCACAACAATGCCCTCCATGAAGGAGGGCATTCACATATGCGCCATGCACCCCTCAACAAGGGAATAGTTCAAGCATGTGCCCCATACCCATTTTGGCACGGGAGGGTGTTGACCTATGCACCTCACCCCCTCAGCGCTGGAGGGTGTTCATAGATGTGCACAGCCCCCATTGTGGCAAAATGTGTTCACATTTCTGAACAACCCCGGCTAGGGGAGGGATGCCATTTGCATGTGGGCCCTGCCCCATACCACTGGGTGCTATTCACACATGTGCACAGCTCTCCCTACTGGCGGAAGAGTGTTCACACATGCACAAAACTCCTGCTCCAAGAGGTAGGGCATTTCCACATGAGCACAATCCCCATCAGTGAAGGAGGGCATGCATGCATGCTACTTACCCACTACCGCAGGAGGCTGTACAGGATTGCGCACAGCCCCCCCTACTGGTGTATGTTCACGCATGCACACAGCTACCCTCAATGAGGGAAGGCATTTGCACATGCGCCCCCTTCCCCTGGGCAATGAAGGGTGTTCAGGCATGCACAGAACTACCACCTCAGCCAGGGAGGTCGTTGGTGCATGCGCCCTGCCCCACTTAGCACAGGAGGTGGTTCAGGCTTCCGCCTGGCCCCCTGTCAGCATGTGAGTCAGTCACCCATGCACAGCGCCACCCCTCAGGGAGGAAGTACTGATGTCACTATTGAATGTGATGTTTCATGAATGGTTCTTTTCACTTTCACAGCTGAAGAAACACAGCTGAAGAAACGCGGCCAGGGAGGGCATTGACGTATGCTCCCCGCTCCCCTCGCCAGGATGGTGTTCATGTATGTGCAAAGCCCCCCCCTCCTTGCCAAAGGGGGTTCAGGCATGCCCACAACACCCGCTCTGTGAGGCAGACCATTTGTACAGGCACACAACCCTCCCTCAGCAAGGGACAGCGTTCATGCTTGGCCCCACTCACCTCGGTGGGAAGGGTGTTTACACATGCACATAACCCCCCTCAGCATTGGAGGGCGTTCAAACATGTGCCCCCACCCCCACTTGATGCCAGAGGTGGTTCAGGATTCTGCCTTGCCCCTTGTTGGTGTGTGAGATGGTCACCCATGCATGGTGCCACCTTTTAGGGAGAGAGTAGTGATGTCACTATTAAATGTGATATTTCACGAATGGTGCTTTCACTTTCACAGCTGAAGAAACACACATCTCTTAAGGTAAGTGTTAGGGTTGGCACTGACATAAGGGGTAGGGTAAGGCTTAGGTAGTACTTCCTTCACCCTGGGTATGAAAGGTTTTCAAGCATTAGCGTTCCCCCCCTTTGGACAGGAGGGGGTTAACACATGCGCCCTCCCACATCAAGGGAGGGGGTCACCATTGCGCCACTGTCTCTGCGATGGAGGGGTGTCACTAATGTTCTTTCCCATACCTTGGCACGGGAGGGGATCATGCATGTGCCCCTTCTGCACCCCTTCATCGGCAATGTAGCCTTGATGTTCCTTTTAGGCCAGATGTATTTTGCACTGCCTCGGCCGCTCAGTGGATTAAGTGTCCCACTTCAGTTCAGGTCATAGTCTCACCGTTTGTGGTTTCGAACCCTGGCTTCACCTCTGTGCTGATGACTCTGAACATGGAGCCTGCTTCAAATACTGTGTCTCACTCTCTGTCTGCCCCTTCCCCACATGTGTTCTGTCTGTCTGTCTGTCTGTCTGTCTGTCTGTCTCTCTCTCTCTCTCTCAAAAAACAGTGAAGCTAAAAACATTTTAAAGCAGCTCCATCAATCTACTTGTCTTCTTGCCCTATTCCCACCTCTTCACGGGAAGGTCCATTTCACCGATTGGAAGAGACAGTAAAACCCTCGTGTGGCCATTCAAAT